AAAGACTACGGCTGAATGCTAATCAGCACATACTTTCTGCGCATGCATGAGAGGAAATAACACTCCACACCAGCAGACAGCGATATATTGTAATCCTCATTGAAAATGGAAACTGAAAAACCGTCTTGAAGCTAGTCAGCTAGTTAGCACATCAACAACACAATCCAGAGTATATTTACGGTGTGCCAGTGAACAATAACACAAAGAGCTCAATGGCTCAAGAAAAATAATCTTACCTCATGTTACAAGTTTGTTTTGGTCTCACTCCCTCTCGACTTGAGCTGTTTGTTTACTTTCCTCACTTTGTGTGATTTCATTCAACGACGGGCTCCACCGTCACCCAAACAAAAAAAAAACAACTAACAGGTGCTGATGAAGAGCAATGGTGTGGGACACACCGTAGTGACAAGGGCGACAGACGCTCACTGACGGCCCAGCGTTGACGACTTCATGTGTCAGGGCCTTTACAGTGATAAAAATCATGTTAGTTTAAATGAAGTCTAGTTGGTTTAGGATGACGATTTCGGGGCTGTTTCTGGTTAAACAAAAGGATCTATCTCTGAAGGGATCCTCTCCATAATATTGTCACCTCTTGTCTCTCTGCCTCGCCCTGCTGCTGCCCCCTCTCTAACCCGCCCTGCAGAGTTGAAGTTGGCAACCAGCTGACTCTCTGCAAGGCCAGTTGCCAGGCTATCATCGACACGGGGACGTCCCTAATCGTAGGTCCTGTGCAGGAAATCAGAGCGCTGCACAAAGCCATCGGAGCGCTGCCCCTGCTGATGGGAGAGGTAGATGATGCTGCACTCTTGTATCCCAGATGTAACGTTTAAAACTTTAACTGGAGCGAATTGCTCGCTTTGTCTTTATCGTCTGTCGAGATCATTTAAACACATCCTCCTCTCCCTCCTCTCTAGTACTGGATCGACTGTAAAAGGATCCCATCTCTGCCCGTCGTCTCCTTCAACATCGGAGGGAAGATGTTAAACCTGACTGGAGAGGATTATGTCATAAAGGTAGATACACTCAATCTCAAGATGGACGACATTCACAACCAACAAACCTCTCACTAAGCCCCGCCCCAGAGAGAAGCAGACTGAGGCATCTGCAGTCTGTGTCGTTGTCGGACCCTGGTCTGAGCCAGGCTGATGCTACGTTATGATTGGCCAGTCTGCATCCAGGGGCGGGACTTAGCAAAGGGTCAATTAGTTGGGAACCACTGCTCTAGAGTGTCCTTGCAAAACTAAACAAATATTTGCTTTCACTGAGAACATCTGTCTCCTCTTTGATGCAGGAGACCCAGATGGGGATGTCAATCTGTCTCTCAGGCTTCATGGCCATGGACATCCCGCCTCCCGCGGGGCCCCTGTGGATCCTGGGAGACGTATTCATCGGGAGGTACTACACCGTGTTTGACAGGAACGCAGACCGTGTGGGCTTTGCCCCGGCCAAGTAGATTACAGAACACTGTTTGTGTCAAATATGTTGCACTTCTCTTTTCTGGTGGTTATTTGACTTTCAAAAGTTGCACCATGCGAAGCTAAATTTCGTCATCTCATCTGCAGCAATCAAAAGCATTTAATGGTCGCTGTATTTGACTGTTAGACCTGGCTCACCACAAACGTCTCACACCTGCTTAGAATAATGAGGTTTACATGCTGGATGCTGCATTAAAAGCCATTTCAACACAGTTAGCAAGGAGTGCTGATGTGTTGTGCCACTGAACAAAGGGACTGCCTCACTCCTTTTTTGGTTTTAATTTAAGCTTCATCTTCAGTCAGAGCTATGCATTTTGATATGCAGTTTATTTTTTGTAACGTAGGTGTTTCGGGGGAACAAATGCACCTCAAATTTTGGGATGTAATTTTGTTTCATTCCTAAAAACTGAACCACCTTTCCAGCTCCCATTGCGTACTAATAGATGTTTTAATTGGGGGCTGCTTTTGTACTCTGAAGGTCTCAGGATGTTTCTCTTAATATGCCAATGTGAATTTTATTACCAAATCTCACTGAATAAAGCTTTAAATAAATAATGTTTTGTTGAACTTTGAATGGATGGGGTTTGATTATCTCACTGCATTTCAAGTTAGTGCTAAGCTCAGTGTACTCACACCAAATCGTCCAACATTAATTTGGCAAATTGCAAATCCAGAGAGTGCTTCAGTATAAATATCTTTGTATCTGGCTGGAGAATAACCTCAACTTCAAGCATCATATTAACACTGATTTAATAAATTGAGAATTATATTTGGCAGAGGTCCAGTCTCCAGGCCTCAACGGGTCAGAGGCCCCATCATAGATGATAGATCGGACTTGACTCTGACCTGTCGAGGCCCGGACAAAGGACCTCCAGGGCACTGGTTTGTTCCACAGATGCTTGATCAGATTGGGATCTGTGAAATTTGAAAGCTAGGTAGATGCCTTGAGCTCTTTGTCACATTCTTTTGGCCAATCCTGAGCAGTTTTTGCAGTGTGGCATGGTGCATTGCCCTGCTGGGGGCTACTACCATCTGGGATACTGGAGTCCGTAAAGGGGCATCCATATGAATGCCAGGACCAAAGGTTTCCCAGCAGAACACTGCATTGTAATGAATCAATCAATGTTATTCACTTCACCTGTCAGTGGTTTTAACGTTTTGTCTGCCTGCAATTAACCCTTTAATGAAAAAAAAAAAAGACTTCAGACTCGATAAAATAGACTTGCAACTTGACTTAGATTTAACACCAATGAGTTGTGACTTGACTTGGACTTAAGCCCTTTGAAAATATTTGACACCTTCCCTCAAGCCAATTGGGTTAAAGAAAGTTGAAAGAAATTTTTCCAATACGAGACAAGACAGGACAGAAACATACAAAATTAATTCTGTTCTCGGACTGGCTGTTAATGTTATATGCAATGAACGTGAAATGCTTCTTTACGATTAAGGTCAGTCGCAGTTTTAATAAATCAGTGACAAGAAAGTACACATTTTTAAAACGTTGTTAGGGATTTTTGTTAATTTAATATTATTAGTCCGCTGTTAAATGGTATATATTTGGTGAAGAGCGCATTATGACTTGCTTAGGACTCAAAACTTAAAGTTTACGACTTGGGATTTGACTCAGGTTGTAAAGTTTTATTTTAAGTGGTTTGCATATTCAACAGTTTTGCTCAATTGATTCCAGAGTCTTAAATAAATAAAGGTTTAAATGATTCCTTAAGAAAAACAAAAACAAAGATGAATGTTATTATTTTTAACATTTAATGAAGTATACAAAGTGCTGCACGTTCAACTCCAGAGCTGAACTAAAAAAAAAAAAAAGCTGGGGGAAAATACACAGCATGCAGCGAAGCATATGGCTAGTGTGAACTCCACAAGGTAGAGGTAGTGATCTACTTTGGGTTCCTGTTTTACAATGACATTACAAATGTGGCACAGTGACTCCTCTCCCTTCAGCACAGCAGTATCATAAACTAGGTCTGCAAAGGAAGACGCCTAATACGCAAACAAGGACCTACTGTGGATTCATTTTATATCAGTACATCCAGAACAAAGCACTTAATGAAGCACAGGAAGTGGTACTTTACATGTTGAATTGAATGCAAATAAATAATCGGCTCTTTTTTTGGTTACAAATGTACAATAAATACAAAAATATTCACCTGTCTGTCCGTTATTATCTGGATGATGATTATTAACTGAATGCACGACGGACCTAGAAACAAATCCCTCCATATTGTACACTACATACAAACTGAGAAATGAGGGGACGCTTGCTCCATTATCACTGCAATTACTTTCATCCTAAGGCTAAAGGTGAGAACAAAAAGCAACCATGTGATTATTCTTAGACAACATATTTTGGATAGTCAGTCAGAGAGAGACACAAACTCCACTTCTGGCAGCTGTTGTTGTAGCGACTCCACGTGCTGACACCTACAGCGAGCAGCAGGCTAATCTAGCATCAGAAACCTCGGCTATCAAATCTGCTTTTTACGACGAGTGGATCCCGCTCAATCAGATCATCATCTAGAGGAGATTAGCACCTGTAAACTATTATTATACACATATGGTGCCAAACACTTCTGTGCAGGGTCAGGACTGCATGATATGGCCTAGTATGCTGCGCTAATCCACGTCTGGCTCCTTATGGTAGACAGACTGGGCACCTAGAAGTTAATCAGAGTTTAATGTGGACTCACACAAATACTGAATGACAGAGGTAACAGGCTCCGAGCTCTGCAATCAAGCCTGACTGTTAAGAAAACTGTGGCATTGTGTCCACATGGACCCTATTTTAAGATGTTTTTGAGTCTGAGTGACTAATAGATTTTAAAATTGGCCCAGGATTAAGCAAGATGTGAAACAGGCTGCGATATAATCCCTGAATCGTCGATTTAAGTCCTCCAAAAGTGCGTGTTTTTGCCACTGACAGGCTCAGATTGTTATCTTAAGTTACTGACAACATTATGAAGATGATCCCGACAGAGAAATAAAATGTTTTTCTTTACCTCTCGCTTGTAGAAGTCTCGCTCTGGAATTTTGTGTACTTTTTTCCACATTGCCGAAATCAGCTACATATTCAGCCATGGCATAACAAGTCCTTTAGATCACGGGTTTTCAACAGGGGGGTACTCAGAGTAACTGCAGGAGGGCTGCCAACATATTGTTTGAAATTCATATTGATGTGAAAATGCACATTAACATGAGTTCAAAATATTAGCAAATATAAATCATTTGATTTACAGTACTCAACGCTGATTATAGGCTAATTGTTATCCATGAGTCCTCCTGCAATCATGCGAGCTACTCTACGCTAAATAAATGTGCCTTCCATAAGTATATTTACCAATAAAACATTTATTAATTTCATTTCTGTAGCCAATTATCCTGAAACAGGGTTGCAGCTGACATTGGGCGAGAGGCGGGCACACCGTGGACAGGCTGCCAGACTATCAAACATGATGTTTAAAAATATGAATCTGTAAATTACTGTGCTATATCGTAGGCAACTGGACTTACTTGAGTTTGTTGAAGACGTGTCGCCTCTCATCCAAGAGGCTTCTTCAGTTCGGACTGGTGCGGAGTCACAGGCTTTCAACTCCATGTGGATGTTACCTCTTACAGAGTCGTTGAGGATACATGTGAGCTCTGAGTTTCACAGTCGTTAACCCTAACGACACACACGATGGACAGGTGGGTCAACGACTCACATGTGACCTTAACGACTCTGTGAGGGTAGCACACATGGAGTTTAAAGACTGCGACTCTGCACCAGTCACGTAGAACTGAGAGGTGAAACGTCTTCAAGAAACTCTGCATTACGATTTAGCGCTTAACATTTCCATGACCTAGATGACTATGCAGTAGAGGGTCCCTGCTGTTCGGGGTACTTGGCCAGAAAAACATTCAAGACCCATGTTTTAGGTAACACTAGGCTACACTGTCTGTATTCTAACACAACAAACTCTTCCTGAGACTCCTCACTCCACCTCTCATTAACATTTCCACCATTCAAGTCACTTCTCACGAGATTTCAGAACGAGACTTCGCCAAAATAACAGACAGACCAGCAACACATGAAAAAACATTTGTAGGGATCATTTCCATAATGTTGTCAGACACTTTTAGTAACAGCTTTAGCCTGTCAATGGCAAAAACAAACACTTTAAGTGGACTTAAACACAATTGCCTGTAGGGATTTCATTGCAGCGCTCTCACTCAACACTGGACCAGTTTCAAAACTTGTTGTCTCTACTAGTCGCACATAAAACATGGTAAAATAGGGTCCAGGTTGAAAAATACCCCTTTAATACTGATACTAATCCAACAAATGAAAAACGTCCATGTATATGATATGACAAAAGTACCATGTTTACAGCAGTGTGTTGTGGTTAAAAAAACAAAGTATGTGAGGAACTGAATGTCCAGCCAGAGATACTGGGCTGCCAGTGTCTGCACCCCAAATAATAACGTGGAGGAAACTGGACTTTAAATTAAAGCAACAACCAGTAGGCTAAAGCACTTTCTGACTGCCCCACTGAGACACTTTGGACCACCTTACTAACATCATGACAGTGCAAAATAACCCGTGATGGAGGTCATTAAAGAAACAAGATAATAAAGCATATCAGACCTGTGACCCACAGCAACAAATGTGAGACTGAATAAGAGACCTCCTTGTCGTAACGAACAAAGAGCAGCTCTGTATTAGACACAGTCACATGGAAACATTGTTCAAATTTCATGATCAGCGACAAACCAGAAAACTTCACATTTCCATTAACTCAAGCATATTCCATTTGTGGATTCAACTTTACTTCTGATTCATAGTTGAATGGTGAGTTTGAAGTATTACAAATAGACATCGACATATAACTCAGTGTATATTCACCTGTTTGATTTCTAGATTAGGTAACACATGCAAGCTGCACACATTCCAATCACAGCCTAATGTTCGTTTTATGCAGATCCCTGCAGATATGGAAAGCATACATCTTAAACGCAGCCACTGTATTAATGAAGTTCTGACAAAAACCCTGACTTCACACCAGCAGCGTTTAAAGGACCAGTTTGTAGGATTTAGGGGCATCTATTGGCAGAAATGGTATTTAATATTCATCGCTAAATAAGGATTGTTGGTTTATATCTACATACAAGTCCGCCATGTTGTTCTACACTAGCTCTCTCCGACAGGCTTGGCACTAGGGATAAGTTTCAGTTCTGCAACCTCACCACTAGATGCCACTAAATCCTACGCGCTGGACCTTTAAGATTATATCTGATACCAAACGGAGAGAAAAGACAGTTAGTGCGTCTCTTTAGGCTGACTGACAATTCATTAGCTTACACAAGATCAACATTACACTACTCTTTGACACAGTGAGTTGGACCTATCTCAAAACAGAGTGGACAACATTTAATGGCATGTCCTCCTGAAACTCTCCAACCAGTTAAAAAGAGCTCATTATGATGCAGATGTACAAACTGTATCTCAGACGTCATGTATTTCCCGTCTGTTTAGACTTAATCCCGATGTATTAGAGCCGTAGCAGCATGACGCCTTTTAACTTCATTAATACAGTGGCTTTAGTGAGAGCCGTGGATTCAAACGGGCCTTCACTTTCTTATGAGATTAAAATAGTATCACACCACATACAGCTTTCATGTCAAGACTCAACAGATAACTGCTACTGTGTGTATCCTGTTTTCTCACTGATGGCGGTTAAGACAGAAGAGACCGAGTGTTTCAGGAGAGAGGATGAATCCATGCAGTTGTTTTTTCCCCCTCAGGGACCTCATTACGGCTCGAGGTCACCACTGCCAGCACAACAGTGTTTGATGTTTCAATGCCATGTTGCCGTGTAGTGACGTTTGTATTCGAGGTTGTCAGGGGTTGGGCGGCTGTGCCACAGCAGTTCTCAGCAGCCCCTCGGGATCTGAGAGGGCACAGTAGAGTGTATACCCCAGCTCGTCTACTTCCTGTGCAGTCAGCTCACAGAATAAGTTAACTTTAGGGCTGAGGGCGCACGGCAGCCTCCCGGCCTCTAGGTGTCCCACCAGCGCTCGTAGCAGTTGAAGGAAGCGGTCAGCCAGCGCTTCTTGGGTCCAGTCGCCTTCTTTTTCGCACAGCAACAAGATGGCGTTGGTGAGCTGGCTGGCGTTGAGCCGGTTAAGGGCAGGGTTGAGCTTGCACACGGCTTTCGCCAGCTTCAGGCAGGCGCATCGGCAGCCTCCGTCCTCCTGGTCCAGGGCCCTGAGTCGTGCCGTCTCAGCCACGCGGAAGCTCTGCCGCCACAGGTTTTCATGGCGCTCTGCAGCTAGTCGATGTGGTTTGGCGATCAGTGAGGTTCCGTCTTCCATCACAAGTAACGGTAAGAAGTCCACGTACAGTTTCCGGTCCGTCTCGTACTGCACCTCCAGGGTCAGTGTTTCTGAGGGAACGACAGGACGAATGATGTAGTCGAGGACGCTCCCTATAGCCGGCCAGTTGATCGAGCCCGCCACAAGCTTGTCAAACACTTCAAGGACTGATTTAGGAGAGAGGTAACCTCCGACCATGCAGCGGTCCCAGTAGCTGCTGTTCCGTGGGAAATACTCCAAGTTCTCCCTGCGGACGAGCCAGAAACCTGGGACGTTCATGATGGTGTCCTCCCCAGGGACGGACGACCACAGGTTCTTCTCCAAGATCAGAGGCACCATGAGCTGGGCGTGGTCCGCTGTCACCACCTACAGATGAAGGAACAGGATTAAACTGAAGAAAGCATGACAGGCTGCAAAATTTTGCAAACTAAGTCTTGTCTCACAATTACCTAACTATAAAAGGTAACTGGGATGGACGGAGAGATGAAAATTAAAATATTATTAATTATTATATATTATTGTTATTATTAATTATTATTATTATTGTTAGATATATAATACAGGGATAATACAAGGCTGAGCTATATGGCATAAAAATAAATAATATTGCAACATTTTAAATACTAAAATACTAGATAAACTATGGTTACAATAAACTTAAATAAGGTACTGTTAAATTACCAAGTTAAGTAAACTATTGTTTCAATACAGTTAAATAAAGTACTGTTATAATAAAGTTAAACTAAGTACCGTTAAAGTAAAGTTAAATATAGTACTTTTAAAATAAAGTTAAACTAAGTACCGTTAAAGTAAAGTTAAATATAGTACTTTTAAAATAAAGTTAAACTAAGTACTTTTAAAATAAAGTTAAGTAAAGTACTGTCGGTCGAGTCTGTGACCGCTGCAGCGAGGCATCTCCTCTGTACATGGGGCGCCGGCACTATCCACTACACTACCGACGCCCCCCCGTTAAAGTAAAGTTTAATAATGTAATATTATAATAAAGTTTAACTAAGTACTGTCAAAGTAAAGTTAAATATAGTATTCTTAAAATAAAGTTAAGTAAAGTACTGTAACAATTATGTTAAGTAATGTCACAATAAAGATGAATTAAGTACTGTGATAACAAAGTTAAAGTATTGTTACAACAAAATAAAATAAAAGCAGAATCACTGGTGCTTTTATTCTGAAGAACTTGTCTTAAACAGGAAGTGTTGATGTTTTTGCTGTGTCCTTGAAGCTTCTGGTCAACAGTTCGATGTTAGCAGTTAACAGAATATTCATCTGTAACCACGTCGCATATCAAGTGTAATCGATTTATCACCTACCCCTAATAAAACATATAAAATAAAAACTTGTCTCCTTTAACTAAAGGTAGGACAGAGTGTGTGTAACCTCTCACCTGCAGGTCATCATACAGACTGCCACTCAGGTACATCTCTCTGAGCGGCATGTCGGGCAGTTTGGCGTGAAGGAACACTCTGAGTTCGGCACAGATGTCCAGCGCTGCTCTCCGAGCCAGAGCCTGCTCCTCCGAGGGGATGTTCACGTTATTTTGGTAGAACTCCCACAGATGTTCCTGCAGCGACAGACGCATCCGGGCCCGCTGCAGGTCTGACTGAGTGGCACCGCTGCCTCCCACCGCAGCTCGACCCAGAGCCCTCCGCAGACAGTCTGGGGAGATCAGGAGCAAGTGGAAGTTAAACAGATGCAGGAGAATATTGCAATCTTCTATCTTCCACCATTTCAAATAATGACTGACGGAAAGGTAGCAGGTTAAGATTAAAAAACAGTAAAGGCTTGGAGGTGTTTTCAAAATATTAATCTACAGATACTAAATTAATCGACTACTTCATATCAAACTAATATAAAACTACAGCACTACAGAGAGCCAACACCCACTGTAAAGGAAGAGCAAGAATCCTCCAAATAGGCTGTCTGTCAACAGATAAAATGGAAACTGGCTGAAAGTCTAAAACCACATAAGAGGCTGGTCAATACTGCATCAAAAAAGACAGTGACTACGTTCACATGCACAATGATATTCCACTGCGTATCAATTCTATGCATATCAAATGGATTTTTTATTATTATTCAATGTTATTGTCTTTTTAGACCAACAAAGAAACAAGTAACATGGAACACATACACTCTGAACTCAAAACATCCAAATCCACCCCACCCCTCCCCAAGTCTGGCCTGCACAGACAAACAAATGAACGCCGCTAATTACACTTAACACACACGAATATACAAAATACATAGAGTCGAGATAGACTTGTGATAATAATCAGGTATTGCAAGTGATAAACAGCAACAGAATGGAGGAGGCAATATTCTATTTCCATACTATAACAGGCAAACATAGGCATTAAATCACATTTCTTTAAGTATAGACATTATTGTAATAGTCCAGGAATGGTTGCCATACTTTATGGAATTCATTGACTGATCCATGAGTGGTATATCTGAGCTTTTATGACTTGAAGTGAGCCATGACATCACTGACCCAGTGTTCAAACAGAGGGGGCAGATTAGACTTCCAGATGTACACAGTAGCTCCTTTTACACTGCCAGATTTTCAGCGAATGTTGGGCCGTTTTGCCGGCAAGCTGCGAGCTTTTAGACACACAGAGCCGGATTGGCGAGTTGATCCGAGGTACCCTTTTAGTTTAAACAGACCGAGGCGGCCTTCCACAACGGGAGGGGCTGTTGAAGACTTGTGGGAGGAGCTGTTGATGACGCCGCATGTGCGAGCCACTGGCGGTGGATAAACAGGAAACAGCTGATAGCAGGAATTAGCGAGCAGCTAGTAGCAAGAGGGAAACACAAACCTGACAGACACTGTAAAGATGAGCAACTGGGGAGACAAGGAATTGCGCGCCCTCCTTGCCCTCGCAAACGAAGAGGCCATTAACCGTCAGATGACGGGGACGGTGAAGAACAGGTGGACTTACGAGAGAATTGCCGAAGGACTGACCAGCCGCGGCTTCCCTCCCACGTCACTGTTTACGTCACACGCTGAGCTACACTTTTTGTTACTTGCTCACGCCCCCCATTGCCCCGAAAAAGTAGGCAGGCGGCATTTTGCCGCACTCCCCGATTTTGTTTTTATACTGCCAATGCTGAAAAAAGACTGGATTAGGCTTTCCTGCAAATTTGCACAACTCCTGTCTAAAAAGGGCTAATGAGATGTCACCGCGCCCAATAATGCCAACTGTGGCTCTGGGTCTATGGTTTTATGACATGTGTATGAAAATGTCTCAAAAATCTTGTCCCAAAATTGTCCCATCCTTGGGCATGAGTTGCTGGGTCCTGATTACACCATTGACAGGTTGGACCAAATTAAGAAACAGCTGGGTCAAACAGCTGTTCTGGTCAGAAGGAAAAACACAGCTGCTCTTAAACAATATGAAAGACTGGCAGGTTTTGGATTTGCACAAATATCACAACAGCAACCTTATCAAGAAGGTGGTTGAAGGAGTGAAAGAGAAAAGGTGTGTTTGCACGGTCCAACAAATCTATGAAAGAAGCAAAATGGCACAAGCAGCTCCAGGCGTTATACTTCTCCATACTTTGACAAGATTAACGACATGTAAGGGCATGTTAATGTAAGTATGCACAGCTGCATGTAAACAGAAATATTAGTGGAATATTCCTTTTCATTGGTCACGTAAACAGCTTAGTAAGAATATTGTTTCATTTTGTGAAATAAATATAAAAAACTGAATATTTCGTGCATGTAAACGTGATCACTGATATGAGACTTATTAAACTTTTAAAGGGCACTTTGTGTTCCTCACCTGGTTCAAAAGCATGTGAGGAAGTGGGCAGAGACTGCAGAGACCTGCTAACTGTGGACTTCATGTCGTGGTTCAGCACCCGTGGTGACGAACCCATCCAGGCTGGCTCCTCCCAGCTTCTCTTTCCTGTCGGCTCCATACCGGTGGGGCTGGTGGGAGCACTTATGGCCCGGTCATACATCTGCACAACAAAGAATAATTGTGTGCACATTGTTCGTGTTGGTACGGATGCTTTAGTCAGAGTTTTTATCCCTTAATCATACAAGGGAGAGGAGGGGTGTGGAGAAAATTGAAAGTCGACATTAAATCTTTTCTCACTTACTCTTTTGACAGCAAGCGTTGCAATGCCGAGCATGGCTGCTCCTCCCACTCCCAGCACCAGCTTGGCATTGGAAAGCATGAAGTCAATGGCTGTGCCGATCCCATTGTCATCTTTCTTCCCTTTACGGTCTCCATTCACCCCCGCCATCCTGCCACTGAACACAGAGGAGATAAAGAGAGTAAGACAGAGGGACACTGGTAGAGAGAGGACAGGGACAGATGAAGGTCTTTTCTTTTTCTGCTTAGCTCAGAGGCACTGATCTAATATTACACCCACAGGAGGAAATCTATGAGTAATCCCACTCAACATGGTCATACTCATGACCTGCGATCTTTGCCCTGTCCTACAAAATTAAACAGCCCTCCACCCCCCACAAAGAATGTCTCATATCTAAACATTTTCACTGACAAGACTATTTTCTTAGTTGCACACCCACCTGGGAGATACACCTCCAGACGACCTTTAATCCACCTCCAGATGACCTGTGACCCCTTCCCCCTACATAAGCCCACCCAGTCGGCTGTTGAGGAAGAACTGGCCCCTCTTCAGCGCGTCCTCCTTGTCTTCAGGTACCGTCAGGGCTTGGCAGCGGCGAAACTCGCGGGCCACAGCACGACGATAGTAATTGCGGTCAGTGTACTGAAGGTGACGCCCTGCACGGAGCAGCGCCCGGTACAGCTCCAGCACGGCACTGCGAGACCAGCCGCCCATTAGGGACCACACATGGAGAGGGGGGACACCCTGGCACCTGGGAGGAGGAGAGCAGAAGTCATGTGAGGAAGGGACTGATGCAAACAGATAGCAAAATTGCATCATGTTACTGTTCCAAAAAAGTTGGAACGCTGTGTAAAATGTCATGCAACATGTATTCAGTTTAATACAGTACAGAGACGAGATGTTCAAACTGATAAGTTTTGGAAAATATACACTCATTTCACAGGTGAACAGGTTAACTGGGAACAGATTAAAGTATAATCATTGGCTATAGAGGGGGCAGCATAGAAAGGCTCAGCTGTTTACGAGCAAAAATGGTCACTTCATAAAAAAATGTGTCAGCAAATAGCCCAATAGTTTAAGAACAACATTTACCAAAGCACCTTTGCATGGCATTTATAGATTTCACAATCTATATTCTATAATATCAACAAAAGATTCAGATAATCCAAAGAAATCTCCGAACGTATGGGGCAAGGCTGGGAACCAGTGCTGAATACACGTGACCTTTGATCCCTCAGATGACACCGCGATGAAAATCTAATCATTGTATAAAAGATAAATGGGCTCAGGAACACTTTTGAAAACTCGGTAAACACAGTTCATCGCTGCATCTACAAATGTAAGTTAAGACTACCATGCAGAGTGAAAGCCAGATATCGACAACATCCACAAAAGGTGCCCACTTGTCTGGGCACGAGCTGATCTGAGATGGACTGACACAGAATGGAAAACGTGCTGCGCTCTGACGAGTCCACATTCAAATTGTTTTTGGAAAGTATAGATTTTAAGTCCTTCAGGCTAAAGAGGAAAAGGACCATCCAGACTGTTACCAGACAAAGTTCAATAGCCAGCATCTATGATGGCATTATGGGTAACTTGCACACCTGTGAAGGCACCATGAGTGCTGAAAGGTACATACAGGTTTTGGGGCAACATATGCTGCCATCCAGACAGCATCTTATCTGGGGACGTCCCTCCTTATTCTGGGCTTCTTCGTAAAAGATTATGGCTACCAGTCTGGCCTGCCTGCAGTCCAGACCTGTCTCCTATTGAAAATGTGTGGCGCGTTATGAGGCACATGATGCAGCAATGGAGGCCCTGGACTGGGGAGCAACTGATATCAAACAAACTGGGAAAGAAATTCACTTTCAGAATTTCAATAATTAGTGTCCTCTGTTTCCAAACAAAAAGGTGATGTAACACACTGGTAAACAACCCAACTTTTGAATGAGTGTATATTTATTAAAAAAAACACTACAATATTCAGTTTGAATATTACTGGGCTGTATTCAACTGAATGTATGCAACCATGTCTAAAATAATAGAAAGGTCATATGGGACAAAAGTTAATCTGGTCATCATGCTGGATTTTCATTGAAGGATGTAACTGGTAAAAAATGAAAGAATAAAAATGAAGTCACAATCAGAGAGTCTGGTGGAGAGAGACAGGAAGCAAGAGCTGCTGTAGAGATTAACTTATTTTAACAGTTTATGCACTGCACTGAGAAGTCATGCACAAAGCTCCTTAGGAAAGCTGCCTGCCTTTCACCCTTATTTGGTGACCACTCTGTTCTGTATTATAAATAGTAGTGTGGAGGGATGCACAAAGCAAACATGATCCCACAGTTCATCCATGACCCATGCAGCACATATTTATGCAGCCTATCTCTGCATTAGAGACAGTAGGTTGTAGATTAACTTCACAATTAAAAGCTGGACACTTTTATGACAGAGGGCACAACAGCCTGCTCATTTCTACAGTTCACATGTCGCCTGCTGGATGGCACTAATTCTTCACACTCAACCACACTACTGTCCCTCAGGTGCAGAGCTCACAGACTGTAGCGTTTGCTAAGGTTAGCAACCATCCAAATGTGCCCACTTAGCTTCACATCGTGGCTCACTACCTCCCAGATCCCCAACGCCTGCTGTGTGACCATTGCCTCTACTAATTGCAAAACAAAGGCTAAGTAATCCACCGAGGCTCATTTGTCTTTAGAAAATGGCTGGCTCCATGGAAAGTCACACATTCGCTCACTCCTGGCTAGCATGTTAGCTTAGCACGCTAGCTAGCTGTTGGGCTACGACCTTACCTTTAACCAGCCTCGCTGATAAGACGCAGTCATAAAAACAGAGCGGAGGACACAGAGGAGGCAAACAGACAAGAACAAACAGCCAAAAACACACACACCAACCTACGTTTCAGAAATAAGAGCAAAGATAATCTTCAGACAGAGGCAGGGCTCTGCTCAAGCCGGGGGTCAGAGAGACAGTGGCAACCGGAAACAAATAGTCTACTACTCAACGGTACATCCGGGTTACTATCGACACAATACAGTTACACATATTAAACTTTTATTTATAAATTCATTTTTAGCGTATTTTTAGACTATTTCTATTGTAAATATCTATTTTAGAAATCGGATGAATTTTACATGATGCAAAAAAAAAAAAAAACATGATGCAATGTTTGTGTCTCCGTCAATGTCTTTTTATGATGTAACGGTTACTTCTGGGTATTGCAATAAATTATATAAGATAAAGTGATGGAAAAATATTTTAGACAGAGAGCGGCAATGTCTTTTTTTTTTTTTTGTGAAAGCAGATAGAGTTAGACCAGGAAAATGAAAAAAAGATGTCTCCTCTTAAAATATCATTTGTGGTTCCTATCCAATCCAAATTTATTCATAAAGCACATTTAAAAGCAATAATAACAGCTGACCAAAGTGTTTCACAATCAAAAAAAATAGCAAAAATTATAAAAAATAAAGGAAAAGCAATCACACGGGGAAAACAAATGGACTATACAAACAGCACACAACACAAAGACCAGTTTAAAAGAGAGAAGGACAATAATATGGAAAGACAGCTCTCACGGAATGGATGGATGGATGGATGGATGGATGGATGGAAAGTAAAAATTAAAGACTGTATTAAATAAGGAATGCTGTAAAGTAGTATACCTAAATGCTAGCAGAGGATGAATATCTATATGAATACAAATGCAAACAACAAATTACAATCTATTATAAGAGACAAAGATGTTACTGCTAAGATGTCATGTTAGGTGGCTTTTGCTTGAAGTTGTATTCCACTATGCCAATGATGTAGTTTTATACTACAATGTGGTATAATTGTGCACATCACAGCTGTGTTTACAAATAAACAGTGAAAATGTCTGATACACCTAATTAAACGCTTCCTGACAGCGTGCTCTTTGGATTTTAATTTTTTTTTTTAAATCCTTCTTTGCGAAGTAAAGAAAAAAACACATATATTGTGGCTAAGTACCACACACAAGACAGGACTCAGAAAGAGGATCGAGAATTTAATAGAGCAACGCGTTTCACTTACAGCTTCATCAAGTGTTTGTATGGATTTGCAGGTGTGAGCAAATCTACATGTGACATTCTTAGTTATTGGAAAGATTTAGCCCAGAGCATTTTATATATCTAAATCTGTATATCAAAATCATGTAGGGGTGACATCAGCTAAATTGGGCCATCAGGTAAAATGGGCCATTTAACGTTTGAGCGTCTCAGCTCTTTAAAAGTTAACAGCCAATGAATGCAAATGATTTGAAACTGTTGCCGCAACAGTACTTGACATGTAACAATTGATTTGATTGGTCTATGGTTGCTATGGTGGGTGGGGCAAAGCCTCATATTGAGACTGCTCCAGAGAACTGCATGGTGAGTGCCCTGACATACCAAATCTTAACTGTCAATGATAAGGTTGATAATTCAATAAAAAACAAATTTACATATATAAATAATGATGTATAATACATGTCCTGATGGCCTCCATCAGATATAATGCTAATGTTTTGCTAAATAAAATTATTTTTCATGAAAAAGCATTTTTTGTTAGTGGCCCAATTTACCTTAATGTGTTCAGGTAAATTGGGCCACACATTTCAGCTAAAATGAGCCACGTTCTGAGTTGAGTTTTAGCAAATATTTTGATGGTTCCTCTTATTAAAAAGTATTAATATATAAATATATTAGTGTATTATTTTATATTATGGGCCTCTTCACATTTTCCTTTGTAATTATGTATGTGTGTGTTAGCTCTGGTCCAGGGCGCATCGTGAGCTAGCTCTCACCAGCTAGCGCTCAGTCACACACACACACGAGAAAGGGAAAGATGAAAGAGGCTGATTTACTGTAACCTAGAAGTGATAGTGGAAGATGGTTAAGTAAAGTAACATGAAACTATAATTACAGTATGGCAAACAAGAAGGAAGAGAGAGGAATGGAGAGGAGGAGAAAGGAAGAGAGAGGAAAGGAGAGGAGGAGAAAGGAAGAGAGAGGAAATTAGATGAGGGGAAGGGAAGAGAGAGGAAAGGAGATGAGGAGAAAGGAAGAGAGAGAAAAGAAGAGGAGGAAAAGGGAAGAGAGAGGAAAGGAGAGGAGGAGAAAGGAAGAGAGAGGAAATTAGATGAGGAGAAGGGAAGAGAGAGGAAAAAGAAAGGATGTCTATAAGGGAAGTGGCAAGTACAACCAGCGGGTAGAGGAGAGGATGAGGGGAGCCTTAGGCGAATACAGGATAATTTGATTATATTATGAAAAATGACTGTTTCACTTTGCAGTTTGAGTGGCCCATTTTAGCTGATCAGGTGGCCCATTTTACCTGAACACTGCACATCTCAAAAATGGGGGACAGCTGATGTTTCAACAGCTGTAGGATCTTAACAATTATATTTTATTACATAAATTCAACACAAAAATATTAAAAACAGTCATTATTAATCATAGGAACACAATCAAATGTCATACATTGTTTTTTTCTTAGTTTCCCAAGTGATTAACCAAAAAGTGGCCCAATTTAGCTGATATCACCCCAGTCTTTTAAGTTTCCATTATGAACACCCAACTGACTCCTTATAATGTCAGAGTGTTGATAGTACTGGTGGCCCAACTTTACAAGTCAGTGCAGAGTTCAGCCACTTTCAGCTCATTTCTCAGATATATAAGAGTGAAAAACTGAGATGTTGTTGTAGCCCTAATTGGTAGACTGACATTATCCAGTCAGGTCTGTTGTCAGTATAAAGAGTGACTTTACATCAGACTGAAAAGAAGTGTTTCACTACCCTCTCTGAAAATAGCAATCCCGTTTCACCTCTGACCACACCAGCATCACTCATAGGTGTGGTTGGGTGTGAACAGAGGTGTGTTTTGTTCAGTGGAACAAACTACATTTAAAAAATAAAATAGAATAAAATAAAATAAATTAAAAATGAGATAAAATAAAATAAACTATAATAAAATAAAATAGAAAAAAGAGGTGTCTTTTATTTTACCTGTAACCAACCCAGGAGTGATGTCATGAAGTCCTAGAGTACATCTGAATATCCCCACAGCAAGGTGAGAAATTAAATTACTGGGGGTCGGCAAAAATACATTTTCAGAAGGTGATTGGTTACTCTTTATACATAATATGACATATTTTATAAAATGTTAGGTCCCATTGTCCATGTCAGTAATCCATCCACACCTGATATGTTTTTAAAAAGTCATTTTTACTTCATTAAAAAGAGCAATGATACAAGATCCATATGACTTTCACAAAAATCCTTTAAATACCAAAACAATTTAATAGAAATAAAACAAAACAACATAGTGAGGAACGGTACAGAGATTTGCTTTGCTTGCTGAGATGATGTATTGTATTATTATTTATGAAAATATGGCCAACCTTTATAACAACTGTAGCACCTTGTGTTGTCCTTGCATAGTCTGAAAGACTTTACAACCTGAAACTAACTATATTGTCAACACTATACATAATGATACAACAAGAAATGAAATACTGAAACAATTCAGATTGTACTTTCACTGTTTGTGTATGCTCACTTTGCAGTCATATTGGCACTAAAGCTTTACCATGTAACAGGAAACAAACTCTTAACCAACTGCTGATTTACTTCCTTATTTCAAATTAAACTCTCTTTAGATGTATTGATTTTTGCCACTTTTAACTTGGTGATGATTATAAGACACCCAAAGCTGGAAAAAAGCTCCAGTGTCTGAATTATTGATGCATTTTTATGGTTAAAATCCATACTGTATATTCCTCTTTGGCCCTGTTATTACAAGTATATCACATTTAATAACCTGAAGATTGGTGTAGTACTCATGGTCAGGGCATGTATTTCATTCCTTTCATCCTAGGAATGATATGTATATCTCTGATGTCATCATGCTGAAGCAGCCAACACAAGTAGCGCTCCGTCCCCATGCCCCATCCACTGGTGAGGAGTGGTTTCACTTGCCACATGTAGATGTACCATTTGTAAGACTGCTCTGGAACTGCATGATGCCTGAGGGCCTCCTGTACCATCTCAGGGGTGGAATGACGTTCACCGAGACCCACAGTCTCACCCAGCCCCAGGAGGAGGTCAGCAGCTTTGGCTTTGCACCGCCCAGTGCCCTCCACATACGCCTGGTAGAAGGGAACTCCTAGATGGTCCATCTCAGTCAGCCAAACAGCACCACCATATTTCTCTATCAAGACCCGCTCTCCTTTGCGTGTTAGCTTTCTGCCAAACTGCGGCTGTCCATCTTGGACCCACTCTAAGCAGTCAGCAGAGGGCATCATGGGAATGGCCTGGTCTAGAGGGATTCTTGGGAGTGGGGTTTTTCCATCCAGCTTACTCAGCATGGCTTTGACATGTGTAATGGTCCCAGCAGTGTTGAGGATAATATCAGAGTGTTTCTTCAACATGGACTTGGTGAGATGAGCCAAGTATCCCTCTGCTGTAGAGATGGCATTGTCCATGTCACCCAACAGTTCACACTCCACGTGGTAGAACTGGTTCAAGTGTGTGGCATCAGGATCTTCCCCTCTGAAGCTGGGAGATATGTAGTACGTCCCTGGCAGGTTCTCCTGGAAGCGAAGGAAGTATTCAAGTACAAATTGCATTGAGTCAGCCAGGTAGATGTCCTGGCCCAGCAGGCTAACAGAAACTGGTTCTGAGTCAGATCCCAGGCCCATTGGTGAAGAGATGGTGTCTGTGGTGAGAGGGGTCAAAGCATAGGAGAACTGGCAGGAAGTGTGGAAATATTCCACTGTGCTGTGGAAAAGAGTGTTCTGAATCTGGAACAGGTTGCGATACCACTGGCTCTTGATGGCAAGTGTGGAGTGAGACTGAGGGTCTTGCCATGAATGAGTAGGCCTGCACTGGGTGATTTTGGAGTGGATCTTTTTGAGGGCCTCAGGGTCGACAGCTGGGCCGTGCAGTGATGACACATATCCAGGGTAGGTTTGGAAGCATTCTGGTTGAAGCTCAGCAGGCTTTGTGCCATCTGGTGAAGGCAACAGAGGGATTAGCTTGGCATGAGCATAGTCGATCTCAAAGCCCTCAAAGATCAGGGCAACACCTTGAGCTCTCATCCCCTCCTCCAGTAGTTTGGCAACTTTGCAAGTGGCAAGGATCAGTGCTTTGTAGTCAGCTTCCTCCAGTTTGAAGATGTCACTGGAGAGTGGTTTGCGTGGCACCACAACTGTTAGTCCAGGAGAGTTTGGGTATGGTGTCAGGAAGGCGACATGCTCACTGTCTTCCCACACTCTCCACTGTTGCTGCTCTCCACGTACAATACGACTGAACAGGTTATCATTGGAAGCATCTCCAAAAAAGTCAAAGCAAGAAGGTGCATTTGGTGTTGGCAGTCCATTTCTAATCTTGGCTTGAACCTGGGCCAGTGCCTCATCATCCCACCGTGGGCCGCTCTTTGAGGTGCAGTAGCCAGGATCATTAGTGTGGAATTCCTCTTCATGTGAAAGATGGGGCTGCCACTTTGGCTCTAGGCCATGAAGTGGGAGCAGTTTGATTTGTGCTGGCTGATCAGGGGTTGGATGGAAAACCAAAGCACAGCGCTGCACTCCCAGTCGCTCACATAGCAAGCTTGACACAGCTCTTGCTCCTTGCAGCATAGCCACAAAATCAGTTGTAGCCAACTTGAAGATGCTCCTTGCCCCGCTTAGAGCTTTTCTAGTCAGGATGGTTGACCCAGGGATCCAGGGTTTAGGATCCAGGTAGGCAACCAGCTCATCTGTTTCCCAGATCACATCAGAGAAGCTCTTCAGGGGCCTGAGGACCTCTACTCGTGAAATGCCGCCTATCATTGAGGCCACAAACATTACACCAGCATTTGTTTCAACAATGGCATCACCTTTACTGTCCACAGCAATGACCCCTGCACAGATCCCATCCAGATTTTCAGCCATCACTTCTCTACATGCCTGCATAAGGCTGTAGCCTTTGTGGTGGTAGAGACTGGCTATTTTCTGTGCAACTGTGTGCCTCAGAAATACATCTCCATCTCCAGAGCAGGTAATAGCTACATTATCATCAGCATATATTCCAGCCCCTACTACTGCTGTGTCCCCAACTCGCCCTTTCAGCTTTCCTACTAGCCCACCTGTGGAGGATGCAGCAGCCAACCCAATCCAACAATCCAAGGCCACAGCTCCGACTGTCTGGGGGTGATTGTTTGTTGAGGTATTTCCAACAGTGAGCTTTGCTGCTAACTGTCTGTGACGTATATCAGTGTGGAAATACTCAGGCCCAACAGACTTCTCCTTCTCCTCCAACCCTAGCAGAAACTCATCAGCCCCGTCTCCTACAATGAGTGAATGTGAGCTGTTCTCCATGACACATCTGGCTGCTTTTATTGGGTTCTTCACAATTTGCACACAAGCAACAGATCCCGACCTCATTGCATTGCCATCCACGATGGTTGCTTCCAATTCATTTTTGCCATCTCTGTTGAATACTGAGCCTTTACCTGCATTAAACAGGAAGCAGTCCTCCAGAGCTTCTACTGACCTCTGAACTGCATCTAGACTCTTGCCACCTTGTTGAAGCACTTGAGATCCAAGAGTTAAGGCTGTCTGTAAAGCAAACTCAATAACTCCAATCACTTCAGTGTTCAGCATCACCTCCTCTCCAGCGCCACCGTGGATCACCAGAGTGTGGTCTGTGCTCATTCCAGGGCTTAAATCAACATTGTTTGAGCTCTCTGGACAGAAGGAGGTCTCTCCATTCATTTTCTCTGTTTGGCCTTGATTCAGTAGACACTCCAGGGCTCCCATCTGGCATGCAATGGCATATCTTAGAGCTAGAAGCATCACTAACTTCAGGTTTATCATCAGGCTTTCTTTAAGCTTCTCCAGTACCAGAGCAAAGCTCCCTTTCCCATTAAGCACAATACGAACCTTGTCTCTCTGCCCAAGGTAGGTTACAGCCAAATGATCCTGGGCATAAACATTACCTACTCCACACTCCACATACTCAAACAGATCTGTACCTGTGAGGTACACAGATGGACATCCAAAGGGGTCCAAGTACTTAATCAGTGGATTATAAGAAGGCAAAAAAAAACGCAGGACAGCAAAATGGGGACCAACTCCTTGACCACTTTTGGTGTTTTTGATGAGGCTCTTATGCTCCAGAAAGGCAACATGGAACAGACGTAGGAGGTCAGTGGTGTATTGAATTATGTTATCTGGAACAAAACAAAAAACAAAGGCACCTACAAAATTGAAAAAATGCATGGTGAGTGAGTATGTAGGATCACAACGGCCATGTTTGAAGTGGCGCATATGGGTAGGTGTGACAAGGAGGTGCCTGGTTGCAGATTCCCCAAGAGTCTGCCTCAGGGAAAGCTGCAAAGAGAAGTTGATCCAAGCATCATACAGACCTCTCTGCCCTCTGAGGGTAGAGAAGACATCAGGAAAGGAGGGCACATCAAGAGTGAGAACTGAATAAGATGCTTAAAAGAAAGAGCAAAAAATAGGAGTATTTACTCCTTGCAAGGGGAATGTTAGGGATTCTGGACAAACAGAATCAACATTATTTACTGTGACAGACCCGTTCATTTTGTCCGTATCAGTATGGACTAGTTTTAAGTCAGCAGTCTCAGACAGCCTGTACACATTCTCAGTCACAAGCCCAGCAACCATCCCATCCACAGCGCTGTGCTCAAACACCATCCCAGCTGTGTTGTCCTTGAAGACCACCAGGTTCACCACCTGTTAAAAAAAGTAGAACAACAAAGATTGGTTTATTTCCTTAGTTCATTTCAACATTTCAGTGAGGGCAATAAAACATATCTCTTTCTACTTGGGCAGCAATACATTGCCTAATTACTGCTATTCTAGAGTGTGCATGATAATTATCAACTACCAAGTTCAACAGTGTAAAAGTGTGCGTGTGAAAGAGGTGAGAAATTGGACCTTTATCCAGATTCACTTCAGTACCTTGTCATAGTATCTCAGACATGGACCATCTCCTCCTCCTCCCAGCCTCACTGCATTGAGGACATCAGCCAGTTCAGAAGGTGCGTTGCAGTCTTCCAGACAGAGTGTCAGCACGGCACTCTCCATCAGCTTCAGTGATGCTGATGCATCTCCTACATGCTACAGGATCTCTTCTCTGGTGGCAGCCCAGGCTCTGCGCTCCAGAGCTGAGAGGCTGCAAATGACAGAGGGATCATTCTGTTTTCCTGCACTGGGTTGATCCATCACCTGAGCCAGCTGGTTGTAGATGTCAATGAATGGACGAGCAGAAAGCGGCCAACCAATGCTTGGACGCCACAGTATGTCAACAGGGAACACTCCTCCAACACAGGTGATGATGGCATGGAGGCTGTCTGGGTAGACCTGGAGAAAACAAAGCTACAGATTAGAAAAAGAGCTGATCTAACATATTGATAATTGAAAACCTCTAATTTTTCATTTTGCTTTGATAAATCTCATCAGTTGTGCCCTACCAGTAATCTCACCTTAATCTCATCTTGACTCCTTCCAGGAATCCGGCTGGCAGCGAATACCTCAGACTGCTGCGTGCGCTCCATTGGCACATTGCCCTCCAGTAACAAGGGCTCACTGTACAGCTTTGCTGCTGCCCAGAGCAGAGAGGCTGCTCTCCCCAGCTGGGTACATCCCTTTGCTTTAGATGAGGACAGAACAACAGGGAAGGCAGTGGAGGTGGGCAGTGGGTCAGCACATGACAGCAGACCTTTCTTGAACTGCTCCGTCACCCAGTTCTCTTGGCCTGAAGCAATAGATGCAAAATTTCTCTGGGCATCTTGAAGGAGCTCCTTCTGCTGATCCAGCGTACTTTTGAACTCTGGGTAAAGGTCAGGAGTTAAAGTGAGCTGCAGGACACGGCTCACTTCTTGCAAGGTAACATCCAGCTCTGGAACAGGGTAGTCGAGAAGGGCCATCCTGTTGGTATGGAGGAGGCTTTATACAGAAGGAGAAAAAGAGAGAAAGAATGAATGGAGATACCAGGTACTGGATCTTTGATGGGTTAGACTTTGCACTTTAGCTGCGACAGAATTAGAAGCATACAAAAGCACAGATGAAGAAAACCATACACCTTCATGTAAAATATAGCATATACAGTACAACAACTGTTAAACTCATAACTCATAATCATCAGATGATGCTAGCATGGCACTAGGAATGGCAAGTCGGTTCACAATTGTAGGAATATGAGTCCTAATGATTTTGGTGACCCCTTGACCTTTCCTCTTACACCACCACAAGCAGTGACGGACTGGCCATCTGGCATTTGGGCAAATGCCAGAACAGCTGCATGGCCCTGTGGCCACCGGCCGCCAGGCAAAAAAAAAAAAAAAAAAAATTAAAAAATAAATAAATAAATCTTCTCTTGGCGGCCCAAAACATTTTTATCGGCCACAATATACATATAAGTAGTAGCATAAATATAATTTTAAATAAATATGAGTGAAATGGGGCTACCGGTAATATAAAGAATTTTTGGTCATCAAGCATTTTCTCGCGATTATTGAGTGATGACATTTGACATCTGACAAGTGACAAAGGAATGATGGGCAATGCACTCAACGTCAACGACAACATCACAACAAGAAAAGAAAATGGATCGAGGCACGAAAAGATGGGTGGAGAAGGGTGGAGTGGAGAAAAAGAGAGAAAAAAAAGGAAAGCTATGCTCGCAGAGAGTGAAAAGTATGCGAAAATATCCAATTTATTTACAAAAAAGTGTTTACCCAGCGGCAACAGACTGAGCACCTCTGCAGCAAGTGCAGCTAGCAGTACGGCCTCTGCCTCAGAGAAGAGCAAACTCCTTCGCAGCCTGCTAACTACTTAAAGGTAAGACATAATAATAATAATAATAATAATAAATAATAACTTAATTTGTATAGCACCTTTCAAAACGGAGTTACAACATGCTTAACAATAAAACAATTAGTACATAAAACAATAAAACATCAAATAATTTAAAAACAGTTCAATTAAGAAAAGACCATACGATAAATGTGAGTCTTCAGAAGAGATTTTAAAGAAGACACTGAGAGACACATATTTATTTTTATACTCTGGCTGTGCAGTGCTCTTGTCATGTTTTGGTGAAGCTATTGTAATATGCATTGTGGCTGCTGTAACATTTATTATGGCTTATAACACATAGGGTCTTTCTTGTTTCTGTTGTAACTAGTGCTTTTGATAGAGCTATTGAAATGTGCACTGTGGCTGTGCAGTGCTCTTTTCATGTTTTGCTAATGCTATTGTAATATGCACTGCGGTTGGTGTAAGATTCATGTTTCTGTTGTTGTAATTTGGTTGTGCTGTATTCTGTCCAAGAGGGGGCGCCTATGGTTAATGGTAGAAGTAGGCTAAGCCTTTAGGATGAAGTTGTGTGGTGTTTCAGATTTTCGTGTTTTGGTAGACATAGAGCTAGTATTATTAACTGAGGTTATTAGTCTGGCCTTTGAACGTGCCTGAATTTATGGGGGCTCTGCTGCTGCCTTATTATCTTGTGTGCTGTGCATTGTTGTCAACTGTACCAGTGCGATTGTAGTGAGTTGATTGCGTGGTGTGTGGAATTTCTGCATTCTCATCATATGGTTAGCTTTCCACATGCTTCCATGCAAGCCACAAATCAATTTTATCATTCATAATGACTGTGTCTGTATATCTCCTCTTCTATTGTGCAACAAGGCAGTGAGTGAGTGTGTGAGTTTCTATGGTAGTTGTGGAACACTCTGTGTCTCTGTGGCACTCTGAAACGTTCCGCCAGTGGTAGTGTTGTTTATGTTAGTATGTGTAAAATCATCAATCATAGTACCTAGTAATATGTGGGAGGGGGAATATGAGACACCACGCCTGTTCTTTCACAAATAAGGAACTGATGATCTAAAATGACGTAAAAATGCATATTTTTTTGTAAAATAATATGAAAATTTTTCACCCCTGGCTGGCCGATGCCTCTGTGTCAAAAATGCCAGGGCCTCTTTTTGGTCCCAGTCCGTCACTGACCACAAGGTTGACTTTTTGTTGTTGTTGTAGTCTGTGAAATGCCGCAACAAACAGTGATATTGCCTTGACATTTGTTACCTCCCCTCAGGCTGAGTTTCAGCTTTGGTGAGCTGTTATTTTTTCACCTTAGTCCAATATTTTGGATTATGGACGAACACCGTGCTGCAGGAACAAGTCCTAAAACCCTGAGAAAGGAGTTAGCATTTTAGCACTCCTGGTTCCCTTATCTCAAGGTCAATGGGTTTTTTGAACGGGTTTTTGGTCAGATGAATGAAATAAGGTCTGTGGTGACACAAGCTTAAGAGACTTTCAAGTTTTGCTCTGCAGCATAACATTTGTTGTAAATACCCCACTAGTGAGTTTTGAAGCCTTTAGGTGTCTTACAAAAGATGGTTGCTAACAAGTGGCTAAATGAGACGACTTTACAGTGTGAATGTGGTGGTGACGCTAAAGTCATGCAATCATGCTGTAGTTTATTTATAGCCTAACGTTAGCACTTAGCTTCTGGCAATTGCATTTACAGTTCAAAAAGCAGGAAAGTGGTTTTCACTTGTGAAGATTAGCTTGCAGACCAAAACATCTAAGTATCATGAACAAGTATTTGCCACAGAGTTTTTTTTTTTTTTTTGTTTTTTTTTTGCAATAATCCAAAATCCAATGGAAAAATCCCATTGTCTTTTTGTCATGTGAAACTGATGCTAACTCCCTTGGTGGCCGACAAAAGGTGTGGTCTATACAACAGATCAGTGTAGCTGTGTCTCAGCATGATTGCTGATCTTGAAGAAGGCCAAAAGGCTGAAACATCGTCATAAAAATAAAAGAAATCCCAGGCCCACCAATACACATCATTCCTTGAGCACTCTGTACCTGCAAATCTGATGACATTCCCATCGGCCTCAGCTCTACTTTGTGTTTAGTGCTAATTAGTGAATGTAAGCATGCTAACACACTAATGTAAGTAACTACTGTAAGATGGTGAACATGGTAAATATTTCCAGCTTAACATCAGCATATTAGCATTGTCACTGTGGGCATTTTAGCTTGCAAAGGTTAGCATTTAGCTCAAAGCATCATAGTGCCAAGGCTACATACAGCCCCACAGAGCAGCTAGCATAGCTGTTATGGTGTACATTGACGTACAGTACAAACACACACTAACTGGCATGTGCCCCCTCTCACTGCCCTTTACATTTCCTTCACATGATGTCCAACATTTCTCACATTACTGGAACCACTAAGTCAATTATGTGATTTTGGGTAAAGGACAGCTGGGTCTAACACAGGTCTCTTTGTGTATTAATGTAGTGAACATGAATGGAATGCATCCAGATTTTACTTCGGTGTGAGACAATACCTCCTGGATTCTGCTGTACGAACCGAGTAATGGCTGATAACTAATCCCATCTGCTCTCACGTGAAAGCA